TCTGGTTATTGCAACAGCACTGAATGTGATTCTTTGTTCAGAGGAAGCAAGGCACAGCCCTCTCCTATCAGATAGTGGTGAGGGCAGACTTCAGAGAAGTGGGACATGGTATTTGGAAGCGGTTATCATGTCTTTCTAATGGGTGGAGGGGTGGTTATTTTGAGCCAAGTTAGAGATAATGGATCTTGCAGTGGCTGTGTTTTTCAGGCCAATAATCCCAATTTCAAATGCATTCAAACAAGTTATTGAGGAAAGGATTCCATTTCATTGTGCTTTGAATTACACACAAAATAGCATGTGACAGTTCCTGCCTCATTCACTTTAGTTTCAGCCGTTCTAGCTGAGTTTCACTTTTAGAATGGTCTTGAAAATGAGTTATGGTCTTGTGGTTAAAATGGGTCTAGGAATTAGTATTTGGTTTTCATCTTTGAATATGCTGTATATGAACAGTCTAACATTCAGTTTTTCTGTCCTCAGTTTCTCTGTATGCAAAAGAAAACAACTGCTACTTTTCTAGCATGCATTGGTGGTACTGTGTGAAAGACGCTGCATTAGTGCAGGAGATCACTTGTCCAGATGTGTACTGGCCCTTTACAGTGCGCCCAGATGTGTACGTGGCATTGGAGCTGACTGCACCATCACCTTCATTCCAAATGAATGTTGTTGGTAGGCACTGAAGAAATATGCCTGACTTATTTTGGCTTTCATGGAAACATATGCCAAAACTCCCACTGGTTTCACTTAAAGCTAGATCAGGCTCAATGAGTTGCTGACAGACCTTTCACAAATTAGAGGCTTCTCCTAGGACTCTTGGACAAAGTGAAGTTTTGTGGGTTTTCAGAGTATGTTTTGGTGTTGTGTTTTGTGGTTTTTTTTTTTTTAATATAATTCTGGTGCTTCTCATTTTCTGCCCCGTGCATGACATTGAGGCTTCTTACTGTTTTAAGTGCCACTGTCTGGTGTTTCAGAGATCAGGAATGTGTGCTGTGACTTATCCTGTGCCTTCGTACAAGTGGAGGGAGTGACATAACTAAACCTGCTCTTCCCATCATAATACTGCCATGTGCCAGCGCACATCAAACTGTGCCTTCTCAGAAGCTTCCAGTTCACCGTTAGCTGTTACTCAGAGCCCTGGCTACCCTGGAAAGCCCAGGCTATCTCAGGTTTCCTTTGCCATTCGTGTAGCCTTTGTTTCTGGTGATGACTGTTGGCCTGGTGCTTCAGAACAGGGCAGTGTATCCCCTGACATCCAGCGTGCACGCCCAGTTGGGCAATGCCTTTAGAGTTCCTTCCTGATCCATTTTGAGGTATCGCCTTCTGCCCTGAAGCATGAAAATTGCTTCTCTTTATCTTCACCTACATGATTCTGGCTGTTGTCATCGGTCATAAAGTTATCTGTTGCTCTTTTCAAACCAGCCCTAATACTGACTCCTGTGACCTTCCCTCCTAATGAATTCCGTAGGCTGGATGCATTGTTAAAAAATCTGTTTCTTAAACGTACTTTCCGCTAATCAAACTGGGGAAACGCCTTCATGTAGATTAAATAATGTGATACGTTGCTTGTAGTGATACTCAAGGACTATTATCATTAAACCAAACCCAGTATCTCTTTCCTATGGATCATGTTTTCCATCTCATCTTTATTTAGATTAAATTTGTGAGACTTCAGTGCTGCTTTTCATTCAGGATGATAAAAGGAACAGAGTCACTGTTGCAAAGTGAATTTCGAGAACAAAATCTCAACTGAAGGGAAAAGACTTAATTTCAGATATTCCTGCAAATTTGGGGACAAAAGTCTCTGTTGTTTGGTTCCCCCCCGCCTTCTTCCTAGCTGCAGTCAGGATTTTATATGAAAGATTTTCATTTTTTTGTGCCATAACCATGTTTGTTATATGCAGCTTGCTTTTTCTTTTAAGTCTGAAAGAGGTCACATTAAATACACACAATGAAAAAGAGGCTAAGCAGTTCAAATAACTGCAGATGGACTATTTCGGACAGGACTGACTTCAAGCAGCAGGAAGCATCTCTTGCAAACAGTAAAGCTCCCAGGGAAAATATGCCAGCAATTTGTCTTTTATACCCTTGCTTATAACCATTGGGTAGGAGATTTTATATACAGTGGCCCTCTGTTCTTGCTTAATTCAATCAAGCAAAGCAAGATACTACACATCTTGCCTTTTTTTGATGTGTAGTGACAGAAGTGTGTTCCTTTAACTTGTAAATGCTACACATTGGGACCTGAAACCTTTCTGGTAAAGCAGGGAAGGAGGAGGGAAGGGAGCTGCAATATTTAGTTCTCTGTCTTGTGGCTGCTGTGATCTTTGGTGAGGGGAGGGGAATTGCAGTGTTCACTTCTCCCTCTCCTTGTGGCTGTTGTGCTCTTTGGTTTTGAATTAACTGTCTGTGTTCTCAAAAGAAAGGCTTGTCTGATGCCCGCCCACCTTTCTCTTAGACACTTGGTGCTGCTCAGACTGCTTTTGTCTGAAGCTAAAGCAGCAATTTATGGAAAAATACATACTTGTATTTATATAATGTCTGTTTTTCTGAAAGAAACCCAAGGCATCTAGAAATTGTGTGTAGGAATCCCTATACATGTAAGCACATGTGCGTTTCTGAACAGCAGCCATTTCTCGTGGTGAGCACAGCCATGAACCAGGAATCCCAAACAGCATTTTGAGACAAAGTAAGGCAGTCCAGCTGTAACCACAGGAGGAAACTTTAGTAGACAGAGTGTAATCAGCCAAGTTAGAAATTGGCTAAGATGCTCTGCTTTAAATCTTCTGTTGACAGTGCTGTGGGATTACTGATGTCCGTAGACCGCTTGATGCCTGGACTTCACCTGAGGAATGACACCTCCTGTGTAGTGTCCCCGTAGCATGTTATGGGCCAACAGTTTGGCAGTGACTCCGAAGGCAGCCTGGACTGTTTTATCCCTCCACACCGCTTCCTGCTGCACCCTGGGGAGATTTGGAGGTGTCCCATCCAAGTAACGGCTTGCAACATCCCTGCTTAACATTAGTGATCTGGCAGGTTTACTGCACAGAAGGCATGGCCACAGGGAGTTTACTTTCCTTTGGGTCGGGCACTGCACTTTTTTACTGACCTCTGCGAGCCCTTGCAGAAATATTTTCTATATCCATCAGAACGGTTTCTTTTTAACCAAATTAAATACAATATTAACCAGTTCTTCTGTCAGTTTGTGATCTCAGTGTCTGTCAATGCAAGATAGTTCTTAATAGATTACTCTGATCTACTCCTGTTTATGTTTGTTGTTTGTGTTTGGCCATAAACGTTATCCCAATTTTTCTGCAGAAACATCGATGGGATTTTTACTTTTGGGCGTATTCTAGGGCCTTTAAAGTGTGTAAACTGAATATGCAGATCACCAGTCAGTTTTTCATATCTTGGCTTACAATACCGTTGCGGGGAGGGAGAGGAAACTGGATGTCGAAGCAGCTAGTGCCTTAGGAGCAAAAGTCCAGTAACATTCCTGTAACCCCCCGCACAACAACGTAGTAGATTCAGTGCATACTCTATGTGTATCTCTGCGGGCACTGACATTACGGTAGGCATGAATTAGGGCCACTGGGAACAAACACTGCCCCTGCAGCAGAAGAAAATAAGTATCTGTTTGTGATCAGGGTCTATTTTGGATACTGCAGGGAATTCACATTGCCTGCCTACTTTTGTTGGATTATTTATAGTTACAATATTTTAAAGAAAGCTAGTATATGTGAGATAATTTCCGGTGTGGTAAGCCGCAGCCATTTGTTTGTGCTGGATCCTTGCCAGGAGGCAATATACCTCATCTTGACGGAAATGGTAGGCATTTGATGCGAATTTCCTGACACAAAAGTTCAATTTATTTATTTATTTAATTTTCAGAGAGAGTTCTTCAAACAGAAACCCTCTGAAGTCTGAAGAATTTTCCCAGAGCCCCCTGAAAATGTTTGCATGATTTATTTGCCTTCTTAAAAATAAACATTGTGCTTGCTTCACTAGTGCATTTGCTTGGGAACAGATTTGGATATGTAAATATGAGACTTATGTGTGTGAGAAGATTGCATTGCTGCGTTTAAGATGTGATCTGTACTTAAACCAGTGTTTTAAATAAATAAGATAATCTCATTTTGGTAGAGGAGTGGTCTCTTCTGATTTAGCTGATCAATTCATTGAACCATGGCAAAGCATTTTCCTGACTGCTTTATGTCTTCTTACTTGCATAGGTTTGAAAGCAAATTCAGATTAAGCTTTCTCATCTTGACAAGCCTCCAGCAACTCTAGGGAGGGCTCTTCTGCTTTGCCCAGTGAAACTGCGCACCTCAAGAAAGTTCCAGAGAAAAGGCAGTTTAGAAGCGTGGGCTTCTGGACTTAATCCTATTCCCACTGGAAATCCGATAAGCATTCAGATTAGCTTTGTCTTTGGTAGGGATTAAATTTGCAGAGAATCTCAAGTTTTTGTGCTAAGATTGGTTCTTGTCTGGGAAGAGCCTTTAGTAGCAAATAGTCTGAGGGGTTTAGTATAGAATAGTGGCATTTTGTCTTATGACATCCAATTTGTGGTGTTTTGCCAGTGCTTGTGAGCGCTACATTGTGGTTGGTCCTGGGAAATGCTAATAAAAAATTACAATTGCATAATTGATCCATAACCTCTGGCTGAGGTAGCAGTAACCTTTGCTGGGCATGTTGTCAGTGGGAGTGGGAAGATGCAGCTTCTTCATATAGTCACAGATCTGTATTCTTAAAGGTAAAAGACAAACTTTTTGGCTCTTAAGAATAATGTTTTTTATCCTTGCAGGAAATGATGATACAATCTGGAAGTAGATATGCTACATACTTTTCCGGTGTATTATATACACGGCATAGCTTAGTAACTTTATAGTGCTTTTTCAAAATCATATTCTGCCTTTGGCAGGTGCCATGATACCAGATTTCAAAATCTAATTGCCTCACATTGTGTTTTTCATCTCTTTCTCCCCGCCTTCCCCTTTTTAGCAATCTACAATTACGATGCTGTTCAAGATGTGGAGCTCTCCTTGCAAGTTGGCGATACTGTTCACATTTTGGAGATGTATGAAGGTAGGTTGCAGATCACTTCCAAGTACTTTGTAGTGGTTTTTGAAAGTAAATGTAAAAAAATCAAGTTTTTTTTTTTTTAAATAATACAAACTTCAGATCTAGATTTGAAACTTCTGATATGCCCAAAAGCACAAAGCTTGCTATGTAGTGTTTGCTGTATGCACTTTACTTTTAAAATGGTGTTAAAAATGCATAAAGTACAGAAGTGGCAATCATGTCTATGCTGTTCCTGGCAGAGGTTTGTCAAGGTAAGATTTCACTAGTATCTCAAGGCAGCACTGCAAGAGAAAGAAACACTTCTGGCTGCTCATTCCCGTTTTCATACCACACCTGTTTACCTTGGCTCCTCCTTCTCCCAGGCCAAGTGCTTGTATAGTCATGTGATGAACTGATCCAGCTGGAAAATAATAATAACTTTTCTAAAAGTAGCTTTTAACCTGAATTAGTTCTTTGATCTGAGACAACAGAGGCAGTGGATGAAAGAAAAGGAGAGGGCAGGTCTAATTGTTTCAAAAGTAATGTTGGTTGAAGCCGTAATATCACGAACTGCCATTATATGTTTTAAGAAGTCTCCAGTTACGGAGCTTCCATGCCCTTTTTAGGCTGTTTCTCCCAGTACTTTACTGAGAAATTTTTCATAATACATACCTTAATGTAAAAACATCTTGCAGAACGGAAAACAAAATTCCGATTTTAAACAACATGAAAATTACACTTGTGTGTTTCATATCTACTTACTAAACTAGACTGTTTAATGAAGATTTCAATGTTAGGAGTGGAACACAGCCATTTAATTATTTTAGAGAATGTGCTAGTCACTACTTCAGATACTCTTTCCAAAATATAAATTCAATCATTTTTACAAGCGGCATCAGTTTGAAAAAGACTCAGCGTGCAAAAACTCTTTAGTGCCTCTGCTGGGAACAGCAAGCTGCTTGTTTAGCAATTTGTTCTTGGCCAATTGTTCTCTTTCCTCTTCTCTTTGACCTTGACACTGGAAACAGCCAGCCAGTTCCTACATGTCAAAGCAGATTATGTTGCTGATGTGTGTTTTTACACTGATGTGTGTGATAGTGGCGAGTGTGTTTGGCAGGGGGTGTAAGAGTGGGGAGAAAGGGAAAAAAAATCTGTATGTAACAGTACTAACTTACGAACTGGTTTTGCAAATAGACACAAGGGAGAGGGAGTGTCAGGGATAAAAATTGCCCTCATGAAGAGCATGCATCTTGTACTTCCCAAAATGTTGTGGTATTTCTTTCTTTCTTTCTTTTTTTTCTCTTTTTTTTTAATCAACATCATTGTTTAATCCTACTACTTGGTCTGTACTCAGCTGTTTAACAGAGAAACAGTCAGGAATAGGAAATGAATACCCAAATGGCATCCATTTTTGTTTTTTTTTTTTACCTGAAATGTCCCAGTTTGGAACTTCAGCCTGAGAAGATTGATTGTAAATTGTTTGGGAAAGTGAATGTATTTTGGTTATTTTCATATGCTGAGCCATCAGTGTGGCATCCCAATTTGTGACTGTGGTACCTAGGAATTGCTGCAGTACAACTAAATACTTTTCCTGAAAAGACCAGCCAAAAATTCAGGCCAGACATTTGTAAACCTAAAGGAAAAGATGCAGATTGTCTCTGAGATGGTAAGTCTGCTGTGGATCTGGTCTTATTTCCCATAAATTCATCTTTAAAACTCCAAATTCTGATATTCTGTCTGCTTGGGAAGAAGTTCTCAGGTCTTATTGTATCTATTTTTCTTTCTCTTGGGATGTCAGCTTTCAGCTTTGTTTCCAGATACCTGTGGGTTGTGTTTTTGAGAATTAGTGTTCTCACAAGAAGCTTTTTCTGTTTCTTCTCATGCTAATGATGTATACTTCCAAATACAACTCCAGTCTGATAAAAGTGGGGCTTTGTTCCAATAATCACTGTTCTTATCTGGATACACAAGTCTCAGTTTAGAAGAAGGTTCCATTTAACCAGGGCATTGGCTTTGCAGGAAGAAAGGCTCAGACATGCCTTGTGACGTCCTTTTTTCAGTCGGTGTAAGTTATCCCTGCAGCTCCGGCTGAGGGCGTTCCTTAGGCTATCGGTAACATTCTTCAGGGAATTAAGAGGGAGTTTTTCAGGATTGTCCAGGGACACTCATGCAATGGTAATAGCCACTTGGAAAATCTTGCTCCTTACTATTGTTCCCTACCTCAGGCTGCACAGGAGCATCTTTTGTGAGTTGCCAGAAGGTTCTCAGGGCTGTTGCACCACATTTCACTTCCCGCTCTGCCAGTCACCTAGAACATGCCTCCTTTTTCCTCCTGGTCGAAGTCAGCAGGTATTCATTCCTCAGCCCTGGTCAGTGGAGGCTCTCTGTGTAATCAAACAGCCCTCACTTGAAAGCTCTTTGTGTTCTGCAGCTGGGGTTTTGGCTGGCTCCACTCTGTCTGTAAGAATTGAAGTGCAGTTTGTTCCTTGACAGCAAGGTTGAAGCTTGTGCTGGGTTTTGGCGTTAACAATAAATGTTATCTGACTCTCAACTGTCTGAACAGTTGAGAGACATAACACTGATAGAGCTAAGCTACTGGGGGAGGTGTGTGAGAAGCAGAGACCTATGAAGTGAATTAAAGTGCAAGCCAGAAGGTGTGGATGCAGTTTGGTGCAGGCCTCTGTGCTCTGCCAACTTCTTAATGTTATGTGGCTTTGCCACAGGCCATAGTGTCTCGCAGACTCTTTCAGGTGGAGTGCCTGCAGTCAGGTGCTGCTGTTGTGCTGCCTAATGGTCTCGCAATGAAAGAAAGCACCTTTAAATTGCAAAATCCTTGCTCATTTATGCTAGCGCATGCTGTCAGGAGTTAGAGACCTGTTGCAAAGGCTGGAAGTCCTTGGAAAGTTGGCCAAATTTGGGGTGAGGCTCTGGTGTTGCATTTCTGTTAGTAGAGCTTTCTTTTCCCATGCTCTAAACAGGTGCTTTGCCTAATGTTCTGTAAGTCCCAGTTACAACTACAGAGTTTGGCTTGGATTGTTGAGTGAGCAAAAGAAGATGAGGGAGTGATAACGTGTCGGATTGTCCATATTGCTGGAGGGCAGCTTGCCTATGTCAAGGATTCATCGAAGGGTGATCATCCCTGTAAATGGTAGCTTCAACCTGGACAAAGTACACAACATTGCAGTGAAGGTTGTCAGAGCTGAAGCCACAGACTGAGCAGTTTAAAGTAGGGCTTTCAAATATTTCTAGTACAAGCTATAATGCCCTGCTGTCCAATGCAGCTTGAATCCGTATAGGAACAACCCAAGAGCTTTCTGCTATTGGGTTGAATAATGCCATAGTCTGACTGTGCAGCATTCCCTTCACTCTGGGAAAATGAAGATTGTGGCACACTGCATCTTTGTCAATCTGCCGTTAGGTGCAGTTGTAAGTGGGGTTTGCACTGTAGGTAGAGTTTAAATTTGCACATTCAGTGTTCTACTTTGAGACTGATTTTAAATAATTTTTGAGATTTCTTGGTTGGGCTTCAAGCATGCTTTGGAACGTCATCGTGTATTTATTATATATGAAGATTTGGAGGATACCCGTTTTCTTAGACTTACCTTCCCTTTAAAACAAATACTTTTATACCCTCTGCAGAGCATGGTTTTGTTAGTTTGCGTGTCTTAGTCATGATACGCTGTTGTAAATTGCAAAGCAAGGTATTTTATTTTTCCCCCCTTTCTCTGGCTGGCTGCTTGCAGAAGGGCATGAGGTCTTTATACAAAATTACTTTTTCCACTTGATAATAAGGTAAGTCGTGTGTGCTTATCCTGTTGTTTGCCAAATATTGTCAAGACTGGGCATATGCTGCAAAATCCAAGAAAAGAAGGAAACTTGCTGCGTCCAATACTTTGAAGGCTGTTTCAGAGCAAGGTTTACTTTCTGGGAATCTGTCCTTGAATAGTGAGCTGGGGAGGATACATTTCTGCTAGGGGAATCTTTTCTAATCTGCAGTATATATTATTATTTCATGCAAGCTGTGGGAAATAGCCAAATTGTAGACAGAAGGAATGTGTGCTTGCATACCGTGATTCTGATCGGTTTCTTCTCCTGACGAAAATAAGTTTGCATTGAATTTGTTCCTAGTTTCAGTCTTTTATCTTTCCTCTGACTGCTCTAGGTAAATGAAGCAATCCCTTGTTTTATTTCAGTGTAGTGCAGTGGTGTATGTTGTGGTACTGAGAGACAGTACACTACAGTGGAAGAGGTGCAAAGACCTTGTGGTTAAGCACGTGACCTGGGATTGCATCACTACGTATAACTTTTCATTGTCTAAACTATTGTAATTTGAGTAATTTTTCTTAGATTTTCTGGTCTTTTACATACTGCATAAAATCTATTTAATGAAAGGTAAAGTTGAGGACCTGTGTTCCATTAAAAAAAGAAAAACCAAACCCAAACTTCATGACATTTCTTTGCAAGATTCAGTCTGCTATCCTTGCATTCTTAATCATACTTCAGTTTGAAAGAGTTTCGTAGTAGCTGAAATTTGCCATGTCATCTTCAACTGAAAAGCCTTTTTTCATTTAGCACGTCTCTGCTTGGGGAAGATACTCAAGAGAAGCACTTAAGTAGTCTATCATTCCTCTGAAGCTTTAGGTAGATTTTGTTTGTTTGTTTGTTTTAAAGGAAATCAAGTAATCAATTGACCACTGCCAAAAGCTTTAGTTCCTTTTAAAATGATGGATAAGATTATTGAAAATTGGATCAGAATTCTGAAAAAAATTGCGTGAGATGCTTGCTGAAATAGTTTTGCATAATAATACAGAACATGCTTTTATGCAATGATTGCAAAATATTTTACAGGAATATGGTTAATGCCAAGAGGCCATTTTAAATATGAGGAAGCTGTGGTATAGAAGGGCTGAGAGACTGTGTCAAATGGAATTGAAATCACTGGGAAAATATTCTTGTTAAATTCCATGAGCTTTGTGTCACACCGTAAATAACTTGTACTTGACCATCCAATTAATTACAACTTGGATAAAAATAGAACCTAAATCTTCTCATCCCTAATCCAGTACCTTATCTATTGGTCCATGACCAATGTATAATCTTATCTTCATCCTGTGGAAGGAATGGAATTTCTTCTTTCCTCCTAACTTACTAATGGAATATTGGGGTTTTTATGGGATGAAGCTGATTCACCTTCTCATTGCTAGGGAGAGGGCACAAAGCTGTGCTTAAAAAAAACCCCAACCAAATACCCCTCCAAAACTCCCAACAAAAAAAAAAAAAAACACCCTAAGCTCTAATTTATGCTCGAGTGGTCTCAGATCCATGGTTCTTCATGGAACCTTCTTTGCTAAATACATAAATATATTGGGCGGAAAAAGAAAAAGGAAAAAAAACCCCAACCCCAAAACACGACCCTCCCCTCCTCTCTTCTTTGCCTGATTATTCCCTTAAATCCCTTTGCCGACTTGATGCTGCTCCCTCTGCCAGTCAGCTGAACATAATCGTCTTGGATCAGTGAAGTTGTCTGTCTTGAGAGCTTGGAACATCATTCATGCATTATAGCCCATAATCTATACCCTTCATGTTTGCTAAGTGGTAGGGCCAGAGTTTTCAGTTCCAATGCAAGTAGGACCTTAGGAGAAAGGTCAAAAAATGATGCTATAGGAGCATGGTTAATTGAGAGTTGGGGTCGCAGAGGGTGTTGGCATTTGGAATGATGCTTTTAGTGGCTAAGAGTCAGTGAGAAAGTGCAAGTTTGCATCCTGTCCCAGAACAATACAAGGGACATTATGTCTGCACATCAGCATTTGAAATGGAGCAAATTCTTCTTCTTAAATGTTTAGTTTGTTATTTCCCGTTACAGTAACTCAGGAGGACTGAAGGGGATGGAAACTGTTGCTTATGGCAAGGAACAAGCACCCAGTGGAAAGGGTGCTTGATCATGTACAGCTCCTACATAGCCCAGACAAATGACAAAGGGGAGGGTGGAGAGAAAAAACCCCTTTGTCTCGCACAGTTTGGAGGTGGTGGAAGAAGAGTGGGAGTGACTTGCCCACAGCTATACTTCTCTCCTGTGTGCTCATTAAGCAAGGCTTAAGGACATAAGAAATACAGTCATTTTTTCATACTACTTGCATTTCGGTGACCTTGAAATCAAAATACTGGTCAAACCCTAGGTGCTGAAGAGAGAAGAAACCTACATCTGAAAGTGGCATATGCTTCTGAGTCTTGGGGATCATAGTTACTACTTCGTGTCTTATCTTGACAAGATCTCATAAAGTATAATAGTGAGAAACAATATTTGTACCAGGGCAAGCAGTTCAGGATTGGGGTTCTTTTTTTTGCCTTATCTAATAAAAAATTCTCTTTCAGCCTTCCCTTGAAGGAAGGCTTTAGACTGAGTTACAGAAGAAGATAAATGTGGAACTCAAGCACAATCTGTAAGATGATTTGGATGAAAATGCACTTCATAGGAAAGAAAATTTTAAAGGGGTGGGATGGAATTGGACTTGGGGCACTTGAATGTATTTCTCTTTGTCAGATCTGTGCTCTGTGACCTTGGGCTGGTAGTTCTGTGTGCATGCCTGTGTCTCTCTGCCTCATCTTTCATATGGTCATAGCAGTAGTTCCGTGCTGTGTATATATCTTGTAAGCTTTATGGAACAAGGATTGTCACTTTCAGAATGTATAGTACGGATTCCATTGAGCCCTATCAGTACAACCCAGATGGATCTGCAGAGTTGAAGTGAGGGTGTCAGTTCACGGTGGGAAGAGACACCCTTCTGCCCTACTTGTAGGAGCCAAGCCTTCTAAATACAGAGCAGAGGTGTCTTCACAATAGTAGATCTCAAATGAGCAAGATAAACAGATTTATGTAGTAGACACATGGTGCGAATGGCAATGTGTCTTTAATTGCTGTAGATAGGAAATAAATATATTTTTGTTTCCCTTTGACAGGCTGGTACCGAGGATACACCCTCCGAAATAAATCTAAGAAGGTATGATCTCACTTTTCAGTAACTCTTAATTTTTATTTCACACCTTGCCAGACCACATCCGGTGCTGTAATCTGCTATGCTTCTGCTGTATTTCTTGTCTTAATATTGTGCAGGTCTCCTGATCACTATGTCCTTTTCCTTAGCGATAGAAATAAATGCCCTTGAGCTAAACATTTCAGAACCATTAACTGGGTACACCTCTGTTGTAAGCGTGCGTAATGTAGTAAAGTAGCAAAATTGACTGTTGCCTATCTGCATACACTAGCTTATTGCTTTATTGTTATGGTCTTGGACCTGTACACATCCGGCATTAGTTATATGTAATGGTGAGATTAGAGTTTTGATTTGACTTGGAAAATATTCCAAAAATTATGCATGCATGGATCTCAGACAAACTTCTTGAGGTTTGTGAAACCAGTCTGAAAACCGCATGGAAATCTGGTTTCCCATAGGAATCCTGGCACCTCTCATGTGGTAACATCCTTCAGCATCTCCATTTTTCAGGCATAAAGGGGAATGAAAAGAAAATAGAAAAGGATTGCAGCACTCCTAGGAGGTTTCCCTTAAATAAAGGAAACTTGGGACTGGTGAATTTCTACAAATCCTGTCATATGTGGTGAGCTTTTCTAGAGAACCACAGGTCCAGGGCAACTTGACAAATGACTCCAAGAATATTTTGTAGCAAGGAAAAATGAGTATGACTGATAGTTTGCAAGAGTTTACAACATTTCGTACAGGAAGATGAATGTCATTACAGTGAAGTAAAGAATTGACTTCTCTGAGGTGCTAAATCAAATATAGTGCTCAAGCATGCAACCTGATGCTCCTGATTGTCTTTTTCCCTGTGATACTGGGACTGCTGGACCTAACATGTTTTTGTTATAGGTAAACAGTAAACGTCAGTCACAGTTACTGTTCTGCTGATCGTGCTCTTACTCCTTTCCCCTGCTTTCTGTTGAATGCATTTTTGTCATGTCATATGCTATCGTGTGATTTATTTTATTTCTATGTTTATTTTTAGGGCATTTTCCCAGAAACATACATCCACTTAAAAGAGGCAATTGTGAAGGACCGAGGGTAGGTTGGCGCTTCTTGAGATATACTTTTGGTAGCAAAACTAATGGAATGTTGTTTCATTTAAAAACAAACAAAAAAATGACTTAAATAGTGATGGTTGTAATGAACGCTACTGGTCTGCGTGTGCAGCAGGGCATACTGCCTGTGCTAGACTTCTAGAGCTGCACAACTGTGTGTTTTCAGAGCATTGTACATACCAAAACAGTTGTAGGCATAGGTGCAGGAGAATACTATTTGCAAAAATGAGAAAGCTCTGCTAGACAAGTTAGTAGTGAGGCAGGTCAATCAAGCTACATTTAGCTCCTCTGGGGACTCCTGCAAGTCAAAACACACTCCTGCTCGCAGCCAAGTAGCCAGCAGGAGTGTGGATTCCTTCCTGTCTTGGAAAACACTTAAGGAAATGACTCCTCATTTGATTCTTAGAGCTGATTCTGTGATCATTATAGTGAGAGGAAAACAGCAGTTGCAAAGGCAAAAGACTTCCGAAGAGACTTTTTTTTTTTTCCTTTTAAATAAGTGTAGCCAAGTTACCGTTGCAAGTGGTGATTCTTCCAAACTTAATTTCTGTCTATGTAGCACGTTTCTGTTCTGGAATGGATCTGTTGAGAAGAGCAAGACTGAAAGAAACTTGAAACGTGTTTGCATTAAAAATGGATAATGAATGTGCATGTATGTGTTGGAGAATCCTTGAACAACTTAAATATCTTGGCATTGTGTGTGAGTGAATTGTGTGACTATCAAGCCCTCTGAAATTTCCATTTACATGTTTAACAAAAAAGGATGTTTTACTACTAAGTTTTAATCTGGAGTGTAACACCTTTTTTCTATTTTCTCCTTTGTTCTCGTAAGACAACATGAAACAGTAATTCCAAGTGAATTGCCCCTTGGACAAGAACTCACTTCTACCCTGAGGGAGTGGGCAGTTATCTGGCACAAGTTATATGTGGTAAGCTTTCTTCAGTGGTTGGTATTTTATTACACAACCTCAGATGAAATGAGACTGGGTCATTGCAGGGCACTTCAAGACTTTGAATAGAATGTTATGCAGAACTGTAAAACTATGATTATTGTAACATTGATCTTGAGAGGCTAAAAATGTTCTGCTTGCCACTGAACGGGATGTGTGATCACAGACAGAACTGTGGTTTAGTCCGTGCTACAGCTTTGCTGTACTTGAATAGTTGTGTGATGACACAGCGCTGATGAAGCATTGACTGGCACAAGTCACACTTAGCATCATGTCAGTTGGTTGGGGCTGTGTGTGTGAGTCACAGTTCATTAGTAAAATAAGGGTTTATGCTTTGCCTGTTGTGCGTCTGTCCTGTAAGAGGGTGAGATATCTCAGTTGTGCAAGAAAGTTGTGCGAGAAAACATGATGATGTTGTAACAGAACCTTCAGCAGGTGTGAAGCCCGTTTTTCTAGAAGTATTGTAGGGAGTTAGTGCAGTGGTTGATCCTCACCCCAGAGTGCCTACAGCTCAAACAGGCAAGACAGACAAAGGATGGGAAGAGAATTAGGGCCATGTGTGGTGGGGGAAGATTTGAATTGTCAGAAGTCACATAATGTATTTAGTTCTTAGTAGGGCAGGGAGAGACCTCTCATCTACTAAATCCGTTTAGTAACCTGACCATATGATAGTCACCTCCAAGGAGTCAGAAGCCAAGGTAATGCATGGATTTGGTAGTTTTGCTGAGGTAGGTGCATTCCTGCTCAGAGAAACACAACTGGATTTCACAATGAATTGCCTTCTTTTGAAGGTGATTATTAAGGCACATTAAAGAGAGTCAAACCTGATTTTTGTTCAGCTAGTAGCGAGTTCAGCCTTTGTAGTATGTGCACTGAGGCTTTAATTAAGATGAGAGAATGGTTTTAAATTAGCTGTAACCATTCAGTTTACCCAGAGCAAGCTTTCCTAGTGAAAATTTCACTAGGCCACAAGTACATTTTATTTGTGCGCCATGAAACCAGAAGAATTTGTTCCACCCTCTTAATTTAATGAGAAGTCGTATGTGACGTTATTACTGTGAAAAGAGAGTTTTGTTCCTTTTTTTTTTTTTCTGAATAGGATCCTAGCCTCAGAATCTATTTTTCTTAAGAACAAAAATCTTTCATGTTCCTATGCTTAACCAATATAAGTCTTAAAATAGTTGTGGAAAACGTTGTGGTTTGAAATGGATTTGAGTTTATTTTATTTTCCTCTGCAGTACGTATGAAAATAAAAAAAAAAAGCTAAAGGAGGAAGGAGGTATTTGAGGAGAAAAAGGAAGCACAGGGGATTTTTTTTTTTTTGGCAGCATTTCATTTCACTTCTTTAATTTCTGTGGTTTTCAGCAAGCATTGCACCAGTGGGTATATCTCCACTTCAAAATAAATATAAAAATGGATGAGAGTTTTTCACCTCGTTTAGTTAATAGGAGTTAGCTAATGTAAACAGTTGTAGAGATAACTCAGCTTTAGCTAACTGTCAAATTGAGATCTGCTCTGTATTTCCCTGAAAGCTAACACAAGTTGCCTTCTCTTTGCAAGTATTTTAATGCAAGTTAAAACCACACATTTTTCTTTGTTTACTAAATATGTCTTTAATATCTTCCCTTTAAGAACTAAAAGTCTCATCTAGCCTCCATCAGCCCCTTCGCATTAGCCTGAATCAAAAGGAAGATGGCTATTTATAACTCCCTTTAGATTTGTGTTCTCAGGGGGCAAACTGTGAATAGTTTATATCATTCATGTTCTTTGCAGAGACCAGAATGGGGAAATAATTTAAATGAGTATCTCTTTTTTGCTGTGTGGGAGCAGTTGGGGTTCATAGTTAAACATTAACGGCTTTGATACAGAGAACTGACGCTAGTCAGCTGCTGCCTGAATGTACCAGCAATATGCTGTTGGCCAATTCCCACTAGCTGTTGGGTGAGCTGTCAGAAACCTCTTGACAGTCATTTTGGAGCTGCATAACCATAAACTTTGTCCCGGTAGATTAAAGTTTAATGTCCTTCGATTTGTGGCACTTCCGTCTGAAAATGAGCTGCGCTTCACATTCAGTGCAAGTCAGAATCATCCTAGGAACTGGCTGACTATGCAGTGGTAAAGAGAGGATGAGGCCTGGCTTCCCTTTTGGACGGTATAAATGGTATAGCTGATACTTCTAGAGGCTTAATTACTTAAGCACATATTGCTACAAATATGGTAGGTTACCACATAGTTACCCACTTTTTAATTATAGCATCAGCCTTGGAGCCTGAAACTATGGGCAAGAAGTGTATAGGTGTGTGACTAATTTTATTAGGGTGGAACGAGTAAATAGCATGAGAAATAGTTTCATTAATTAAAGATGATAACAGTAGAAATGGCAAGAAACTTCACAAAGCAGGTTTTGATGTCCTGTTCAGTCAGTGCTTGATAATAACAGATGCTGCATTTGTAGCAAAAGATGAAAATGCAATGACTGCAGCAAACTCAAGCAAGTACCTGGGTAGATTGGGGATGTGGTGTCTGGGAATCCAGATGTGATATTTTTATTGCATTTTTATACAACCTCTGGCACGGTAGGTTCTGAGCAATTACTGCTGGTGTAGTACTTAAAAGCATGGAATGAGTCAAGACTACAATTGTGTTAAGCTCTGTACAAATGTAAACAAAAATGGGTGCTCTGAAGGGCAGGTAATCTTCAGCCTTATTTGCTGATAGACACCAACCAGAGAGGTTATTGTGTTTCCACAGAGCTACTCCAATTTCCATGAAACTATTGACTGGAGGTCACACATGGACATGACAATCCATGTGAGTTACCAGTGGGTAGAATATGAACCTTGAAATACAATATGCATACTGGCAGGGAAGCAGTGTATCCCAGATATCGCTGCATTTTGTTGCTATTCTTTTTTTTTTTTTTTTTTAAAATATAATGGATTTTGAGTATATGATAGGACAGGATAAGAGAGCAGGCAGCTGTGAAAATGAGTCCATGGATTCAATTTGCTTAGTGTTCTGGCTTTAAAGCGTAGTTGCTAACGCTGTAAACAGTGCTGAGGGCAGAGATTCCAATTAACGATGTTACTGTTGTGTTGTGGTGACAAGAGGCCTTTTTTATACACAACAAAGAGGCTGAAAAGTTCTTTAGGCTGGTGGAAGCTATAGGAAGAACAGACATGAGACAAAGCCTATGTGGGCTTCAGTGTTGGTCATCTGTCATTATTATTTATGTTTTGGTATCACCTTTAGATTTTGAAATAGTAAAGTGTTCGCCTCAGAGTCTTATGATCTAAATAGGCAAAACAAATGGGAAACATGCATTAAAAAAATAACTTGCCCAATGTCACACATTCTGAGAGTGGCAGAGGTAAGGAGAACGAGCCTTTGTATACTAAGTTGGCATTCCTACGTCAATCTGCTGGAACATAGTTGCGATCATTTAACATCTGTCTGTCCTGTATATAAAAAGCATCCGTGCTGGAAAACAGCAGAAGTCTATTTTTTTGTCTGTGGGGTTTTTCTGAAATAATGTTCTGAGGAAATGGTGAAGACCCCGCATCTTGAGACAGTTAAACCTTGGCAGTGCAAAGTACTGGAGGATTTGTTCCATGGGTCTAATCTTGTAGTGTCATGTGGTGCCAATTTCTCAAATATATTTTGTTAAATACAACTTGTATGGTAGATTCAGTTGAGTACCTTTCAGAAAGCTTACTGAACTCATCATTTTCAGGTTATCACTAGCTTAGAACTGTCCCTTTTGTCCTGTAGGATAACAAGACCACACAGTTTCGGCATGTCCAACAGATGACTTACAGCCTGATAGAATGGCGGTCACAGATACTGTCTGGGACCCTTCCCAAAGATGAGCTAGCTGAGCTCAAGAAGAAGGTCACTGCTAAGATTGACTATGGCAACAGGTAAACTCCAAACTATGTCTTGAAGGCAGGGGAGAATCCCAAATTCTGGTAGAGGCTCTAGATGGCTATTAATACAAAATGGTATAAATGACTGCGCAAGAGGATTTCCGTGGAAAGGGGGTAATTACAGCTTTCAGTCCCCATCAGAATGTGACTAGCCTGGCAGGTGGGCATGTAGCAGTTGGTTCTTCATATGCCAGCAACTTCTTTGACTTGGCAGGAAATCTTACCTGTCTTAATTCTGCAGAAATGTTGGCACATGATCGTATTTCCCATGGAGCACAATTTGTGCCTGGCTAGCTGCAGCCAGGATTTGGATGCTGGTTATGAACTAAACCGCTTTATCAGCAACTGAGTAAAACAATTCTGTCAGCCACCAAAACTCCACCTTTCATTGGTTTGTACAGAACAGGGATTGTCTCCAGAACTCATTTATCTGCCTGTCAGACTTGATTCAGGTCAAATAAGTCAATAAGAAGACAGCTTATGGCAAAGAACAATAGTTAGCCACAATCCATAAGCCTGATAGATATACAGATATACATACCCTTTTTTTTTTAAAAAAAAAACAAACCCAACCTTTAAGCGAGAACAAAGAAGATGTCGTTTTAGAATTAAGTTACCTGAGCAATTATTTTTCCCTTTAATGAGAAAGTGAAGGGTGTGGATAAGTATTTTGGGACAGAATAAATGAGCAACGTGATTATTAGGAGGAATGGAATTGGTGTGCATTTGCTGCCTAGTGCAATCCACAGGTTGATCTGTGGTTTGTGCTCTCTCAGTCACCTGTTTTGCTTGAGCATTGTGTTGCTTCTCTCATCCTTATTACTTGCATCCTACTCAGAATCCTAGGTTTGGACCTGGTTGTACGAGATGACAATGGGAACATTTTGGACCCAGATGAAACCAGCACAATCTCTCTCTTCAAGTCCCATGAAACTGCATCCAAAAGGATTGATGAAAGAATCCAGGAAGAGAAGGTACATCTCTTGCCTTTAGCCTCTTCAAGTAACTAGTACCCACTGTATTTTTACATTCCTCTTCAGGATACTGTGCTACTTTGGCAGCAGGACTAAGTTATTCTGTGTTTGTTTTTAATTGGAGTGCTCTCCTTCTTTGCAGTCCCTGCAACAGAATTTGGACCTCCGAGGGCAGCCAGTATTCAACACAACACATACATATAGCCTGTATGTAAACTTCAAGAATTTTGTCTGCAATATTGGAGAAGATGCAGAGTTGTTAATGAGCCTCTATGATCCTGATCTCTCCAAATTCATCAGGTAGGGGTTTTTTTGTAGATGCAATTTAGTCATCACGGTGGTCATTCTAAAGAAGCCAGTGGAGGTTAAAAAGGAAGATCCAGCAGGTGAGTTTTTCACTTCTGTTGGTTGCCGCCCCAGTGGCGATTTGGAAAGGGTTTATTTAATTTCAGATGAGATGGGAAGTCAAGGTTCTGAGCCCATACACTTCCCTTCTTAAAGCTGGGCATTTCTGTGATACATTAGTCAAAATCACAGACTGTCTCTTTATATTCTTACATTCCCCTACTGTTGTCACTAGGCTTGATGCATTTGATTAGTTGCTTCCCGTTAAATCATGTATATGCATGATGTTTGCTGTCAAGTCAGTACAAGTTCACACCTAAGAGCTGGGCATCTTGTACTGGTACAAGAAGATACGAAGAATTTTATCAAGGAAGCATGTATGTGGCAGGCACCCTCTGTCTCCATCATTGAAGCTATCAGGTGTGGACATGCCGTCAGAGTTATATAGGGAAGTAACTGAGCGTACCCATTCACATCGTGCCTGCCTTCTGCCTTCACTGCAATGACTCACTTCAGAGTCACGTTGGGATAGAAGATTTTGGCAGAATTTTTCAAATATTCCTAAAAGATTAAAATACTTCTGAGCTTTTGCCCAGGTAATGGGAATGTCAGGTGTTGATTTATTTAAGATCTTTTTTCTTCCTTTACCTGCAGTGAAAATTACCTGGTTCGTTGGGGCAGTAATGGGATGCCTAAAGAAATTGAGAAACTAAATAACCTTCAAGCAGTCTTTACTGTAAGTTACTGTATTTACAACCTGGAAATTCTTCCCCCATGCTGCAAACATCTGAGTTTTGGCTTCTTTCCCTCTGCCCTCACCCCACCCAGCAGAGGGGGTCCCATGGTGTTCTGGGATGTATTCATGGACACTTTAAGATCTTATAAGCAGCCTCAGAGGAATGTTTCTGAAAAGTACTTTTTTCTATATGTCAATCCAAAGCAGTAGTCAAGGTGTATTATTTTGCAATAGTGCTGTCAGTGGGTGTTGCTTACCCATGCATTCCTGAAAATTCTATTAGGCACTTCTCTGTTGGAGCTAACTGTACTGAAAATCTAGGCTTGAGATCATAGTTGTTTGTTGTTCATTGCTTTGCTGATCCTCCTCTTTGCAACAAGATGTGAATGGAAGAACTGCACATGAATGGAATAATTTCTGACGAGTAGCAAAGGTGGCGTAAACTAACTGCCTTGGCATCAGGATCTAGTATTTTGGCAATTAACATTACTTACTCTCCTTTCAGTACTGTTTCTGGGATGTGTTGTCAAAGAGTAGTGGGATGTTTAGAAATTGCTGTGTGGGAATTGCTAGTGTTTTTGTAGTATTTGGTTTTTTTCCTAGGGCTCAAAGGGTACTGGTTTTCTTTTTAAAAAAGTAATAATTTCCTTTTACATATGTGTACAATCTGACAAAAAAAATCTTTCTCTGTCTCCTTCCATTCATAAAGCAGATTGATACAACTTTATTTTAAATCATTTCTAGGATTTAAGCAGTTCTGACTTGATCAAACCAAAAATCAGTTTGGTGTGTCAGATTGTGAGGGTGGGGCACATGGAGCTGAAAGATGGGAAGAAACATACCTGTGGACTCCGGAGGCCTTTTGGTGTGGCAGGTATGACAAATTCCATCAGTGGAGAAAATAGCATGGCCCAGTGGCTGGGACAGTGGGCTAGAAATCAGGAAATATATGCTTATGTCAGCAAAACCTGCTAACCTCTTAGTGTCAGCATCTCTGGCTTCAAAACGGGGGTGCTGACACAGGGTTGTGTATAGTACCCCTTTGCGACCTTTAAATGAAAGTTGTATAAGAAGATGAAATACTGTTACTGTTAGCTTTTTGTTTTGTCACCCCCTAAAAAGATAACACAGTGCCATCAGTGCAATAGACTTCAGACCTTTATTAAAAAAGTCCTCATGACTAATGGGCTAAAGCGGGAGTTTTTAAAGGAGACTTGGTGAATGAGACATCCAATTCCTGTTCAATTCCTGTGACTTCTCGTGAAGGGACTTGCTGGAAATTTGTAGCGGAAAACAATTTCGAAATAATCAACATTTGAAATCTAAGTGTAGTGTCTTTGCCTTTAAATGCCAGAGTCCTACCACAGGCTGACATGCAATGAAAAGGTGCTTTTTAAAAAGTTAAGATGAAAGTGGTGCTCTTTATTTCTGTCGTGAGTGGCATTGGCCCAAAATAAGCAACTGTTGTTTCCATTCTGATAGGGGAAAGCTCCCTCTGTATTCTTTAGCAACTTGGCAAAACTGTGTGATAAACTTGTGTTGTTGCAGTGATGGACATAACTGATATCATACATGGAAAGGTGGACGATGAGGAAAAGCAACATTTTATTCCATTTCAGCAGTAAGTACCAGAATTCAGAGTTCATCACATATCTAGCTTATTTAAAACAGTTGTCCTCTGGAGAAGGACAAATTTGTATGGGAGCCTGGCAGTGTACCAAGGTCTCTACAAATAGATTAGCTTATGGCAGTAGTCAGCTCTTTGAAGGAAAAGATTTTTGTCAGTGCTCTGAAGCCTTTGTTCCCCTTGATTTTACATGTCTGTATGATAGGCAAAATTGCTGAGGGAGTTTTGGCAAATTGCTGGGTACCTGTAGCGCCTGAGGTAAGAAAGGAGAGCACAGTGCTACATGTTGTGGGGTCTGAGGGATGTGACCTTCAAAACTATTAGGAGGTTGAGAGGCAAGATATTCAGAAATACCTGAGCATAGGGAACACAGCTGCTGCTTGTCGCTGTTGTGCGGTGCTCTGTGTATTGTCTGCCTCTTAACTTTCCAGATTACCTTGTAAAGGTGAGTCAGAGGACTATAGGAAAGGGATTTCTCCCTTTTTCTGGGAAAGGAATTCAAGCCCCAATGTGTTTTGCATTTCTGTATTGCTCGTTAGACTTGTGTGTTCTGCTTGCTCTCTGATGGCTCACTTTTTCAGCACATTACAGCAACTAAAATGAAGCTTGTTTGGGTAGACTCGGCCATGTTGTTACAGTCCTAAATACAGCAATCCTTTTGGTGTAGCCATATGTTATTACAAGATATTTTCAGGATGATACTACGTTTGTTTTTTTTTTCCCCCCACTACCCTTTCAGGGCCTGAAAGGCTGGAAAGTTGTCTTTTCCTTTGCAGAATAATGTTAATCTGGTATCTTTTCTTGTTTGTTTGGGGGTTCCCCCCCCCCGCCCTGTTTTTCTTCTGTTCTAATGAGGCTGAGTTTAGATCCAAATCTGGACATCTCTACAAGGATGGGGAGCCTGTGAAGACATTGTTTTGTATATACTTTGGTTCATTATTGATGGTGTGGGTACAGGAGTGAAGTAGTGTTCAAAATCCAAAGCTCAATAGACGTTTGTGGCTAGGGATAGGTTCATCACTTGTGTGATCTCACAGCAGTCGCTAGTTACGTTAATTTATGACTAGTTAATCTACGTAGTCTCTTAGGGACAGCTCTGAGGCACACCTGAAGACAGGGCTCAGCTCATCTGATGGGAGTGCAAGGCTCTATATGCTGACCTGTTCCTGCGTGGTAGCGCATAGCTGGAGTTGTCCTCACAGGTCTGCAAGGCAGGCAGCCTGTGGATGGAGAACAAGAACTAACTAGAGCTGGCTATGTTTACTGTTGTCCTGAAGGCTGCTATTTCAGTATGATACAAGTGTAATCATGGAGTCTTTAGGTCAGTGTTACTTATCCTAAGCCTGAGCTGGCGTTGTGATGTATTTCCTAGTTTGAGAGTTTAAATGTATTTCCCTTGGGTTTGTGCAGGTGAAGAAGAAAAAAATATTCCCATGGAATCCTTTAGAAAAAGATATTTCTATGGAAAACAGTCAGCTGTTGTCCCACCCTCTTCGTGCAGAGCATGTGTTTGATGCTAGTTGTTCTGATTCCCCATCTCTATTGTTGTTCTCAGGATTGCCATGGAAACATACATCAGACAGCGACAGCTAATCATGTCCCCACTGATAACGTCCCATGTGATCGGAGAAAATGAGCCCCTCACTTCTGTCTTCAACAAAGTCATCGCTGCAAAGGAAGTGAATCATAAAGGGCAAGGTACAGCAGTTGGGTGAGAAGCTAATATAAAAACCTGGCGCGGGGAAGGGTTCCCCTTGCTTACAAAGGAAAATAAATGGCTTGTCAAAGTCCAGAGATCAGGGCTTACTGGAGTTTGCTACCTTCCCTGAGCCAAATGTATGGTCTTTGGAATAGTTGTCACCCCAGCACACTGGGAGCTAAAATAAAGGTAAAAACAGGAGCTGTTCTTCCTTGCATGAAAAGAGCTTCTCTAGCTGATGACGTATTTGCTAGTAATATAATATTTTGAAGATAAAACTGTTTATATAGACATAAAATATTTTTAAGTGAACATGGCTGATTGCATATTCTAAATGGCCTTGGGTTTAAACTGCATTATTCAGGATTCTTCTGAATAATTCTTCTGCTTGTGTGTCTGGTCTTTACTCAAATACACTAGCAGATTCATCTCAGAAAGTTTGTCTTTTACTTCAGAGAATCTACTTGCCCAATAAGGTCTTATTCAGCATTAGGGAGATAGAGAACTGGGCAAGTGAGAACCAGTTTGGGATATTTAAGGCATTGTTGCATGAAGGTCACATGAAGCAACAGTTTGCTGCTAAGCGTATGTGTAAATTTTATGTTTTTATACTATTTTTTCAGTAAAGAAGTGTTACCTTTCTTTTCTTAGGTCTCTGGGTCTCCCTGAAACTGCTTCCTGGTGATCTAGCGCAGGTTCAAAAGGATTTTTCCCACCTTGTAGACAGATCAACTGCTGTGGCTCGCAAAATGGGATTTCCTGAGATAATCCTTCCTGGTAGGTCCCATATGGCTCTACGCTTCCATGGAGTGAAAGAGCCAGGTGAAATTCTAGAATTTCTGCTGTGAACAGATTTATTTTAAAACTATCTGAAAACTTAGTCTAATTTTTCTTGAAATTTCTGGCTGATCTTTTATTTTTTATCAAATAATCACTTATTTGATACATAGGCTTCCTTTCTTATATTGAAAAATGGTAATGTGTCTGCTTTTTGGAAGAAAATTTCTGTTTAGTCAAAGAGACATTTTTGTTGCATATAGGTTTGACCCTGCTCTATTTAATCCATTCAAAGTGGGTTTAGCCCTATAGAGCTCGTTACGTGAAAAAAAAAAAAAGATGTTACGTAATGATGGAGGTTTATAAAAAGAAGAATGGTACATTTTAAAAGATTTTTTTATAATTTGAGATGAAGATGAAATGGTTTGATGTTGGGTGTTGTTAATTAGCTGGTATCGGTAAAGGCGAAGAAGAAGATAAGGATAACATAGTACCCAAGGATGTTAAATATTAGCCTGTAAAACTGTCTGTATGAGGAAAACAGCTCATTAAGTGCTATGAATTTTAGGTGATGTTCGAAATGATATCTATGTCACCCTGATACAAGGGGAGTTTGACAAAGGGAAGAAGAAGACTCCCAAGAACGTAGAAGTCACCATGTCTGTACATGATGAAGATGGAAATCTCCAAGAGGTATGATGGCCTTCGCAGGAGGTCATGAGGCTGCTGTGTTTGATAGATAATAGCTCTGGTCCATAGAATTTTATTTATCAGCTGTATGCAAGAACTGTGTGATAATGAACAAGAGATATTATAGGTGACCTTGGTGACCAAATTTGAATAATCACTGATTATTTTTTTTAATTTAATAAGAGAGGTTAGTGAATCTTTAAAGATTCTGTAAAACTTTCAAAGAGGTGACATGGGTTAAGTTACCTTGACTGTGAAGCATAGACAGTGAAAATTTCTGACCCAAGATACTTCTTGCTTTCATTCTAGACCTTACTTTTTCTTTCCCCCACACCCCCCTTGTCTTTTTGTCCAAAGAAAGCTATCCATCCTGGTGCCGGTTATGAAGGTGTCTCCGAATATAAGTCTGTTGTTTATTATCAAGTCAAGCAACCTTGCTGGTATGAAACTGTAAAGGTAGGAGTGTGTAATTTACAGTCTCGCTTCCTTTGTGTAGAAAATGGAACTAATTTAAAATCAGTAGGTGCATCAGTAACAGAATGTCCTGTAAATTGATGGGGGATAGAGAATGCTGGTGCTGCGTTTTTCATCGTATTATCATGTGCAGGTGTCCATTGCAATAGAAGAAGTCAGTCGTTGCCATTTGAGGTTCACTTTCCGTCATCGGTCATCACAGGAATGTAAGTATCAGAAAAGATGGTATGCAGTACTGTAGATCTACTGCTGTAGAACTACTGTACTCTTCCTACTCTCATTGAGATTTTCTGAGTATCCACCAAAGGTGTAGTGCTTGCATTCCTATTTATTTCCAGTGTTGTGGATTTTCTTGCAAGCAAAGAAAAATAACTCAAACTCTTTACAGCCTTAAAAAAAACATTTGGTGCTGGTTTTGTTCTAAAACAGAAATTAGATAGGGGGCAACATGTGAGCTCCCTTGAAAGACAAGTGTCAATGCTTATTGCTGCTTTGGCTTCTCAGTGTATAGTATTGTTTTTATTTAATTTATTTCAAGGCCTTCACAAAATTCAGTGCAAGGCCTGGTGGGCTTCTAATGGTCTTCCTGTATGAGGATTTCTCATTAGGTTAATGAAAAGCTAATGAGAAAGTTAGAGTCAGAAGTTCCATTGAACAACTTCAGAGCCCTGAAGCAAGATCAATAATGTGAGACTAAACCCTTGAAAGGCTCTCAAAAAAATTCTCTTAAGGTGCCTGGGAGATGCAGTGACATACTTCCACATCCATACCTCACAAGCAGATTTGCAAAATCCCAACCAAAATATCTATACAGTTATATATGTCCATCTTGCAGCTCAATTAACCACTAAAATTGTGTGGTGAGAGATGCTTCAGAGAGGATGTTTTTCTGTGTAGTTGCAGATACCTACTAAGTGCCTTGAGATGAGAGAGAAAGAGAGTGAACGCTTTCTTCTGTGGATCACAAAGTTTGCTAGCTCCATCACATTGTCCTGTGATGCTATTAAATAAAGAAGAAGCTGCACATAATTAGAGACCTGCCTTATGGATAGTGTGGGTATAAATAAGACAATTCCTAATAAAGATTTTTCTTTCTGTTTGCAGCTAGGGATAAATCTGAGAGAGCTTTTGGCATGGGCTTTGTGAAGTTGATGAATGCAGATGGAACAACACTGCAAGATGGCAAACACAATTTGATTGTTTATAAGGTAGCTTTGGCATTTGCAGTCTTCACTTTTGTTTAACTCTCTTGGCTGACTTTTTTTCCTAGTAATGTAAACATCATCATTGCAGAGATTTTTAATAATTTTTCTAGGATAATAGGACAGTAAGTTTTTTTTTTTTAATAAGTCACCCTCAGCTCTGCTTTCACTGATGGGTTTTCTGACTGCAAGTGCACAAATCTGGTACATCCTTGTGTGTATCTGTGTAGACCATTTTTCCTCTAACATCATTTGCCTAGATAGCATGCAACAAACAGGCCTCGTGAACACCTGCTTTGTAGGATCGGCGTGTGATGGGAAGAGAGACCTAGTGCCTTTAATCACAGTATGAGGAAAAAGTTAATACAGTGCAGTAGAAAGCCACGAAGTGAGGGGCGGTGGGGCGGGGGACCCTCCTAAACTCTGTGGCTTGAATCACTCTGAAAAGAGCTTAGTTCATTGGCAGTATGGGCAACATCTGTTCCCTAGAGTTAGAGGCCCAAACAGACAATGTGAGTAAATGGCTGTAGACATGAAAAGGTGTTTAAAGCCCTCTTTGGCTGTCACTGTGTTGAAGTGTGCCTGCAGATGAGAACTGCGAGAGGTCAGATGAGGTGTGCTCGGAGTGAGATAACCCGTGTCTTTGCTGTGTTCAACCAACAGGGTGATAACAAGAAAATGGAAGATGCTAAATGCTACTTAACTCTTCCTTGTACCAAAACGGAGATGGAGGAGAAGGAGGCCCCCTCGGGGAAAAACCTGCACCATCTAGCCAACTTCACACCCACTAAAGATAGTACGAAAGACAGCTTCCAGATTGCCACTTTGATCTGTTCCACCAAACTTACCCAGAACGGTAGGTCTTGCATTAGCAGCCTAGCTGTATCATGTTGTATATTTGAAGTAAAGAGGGCACTTTCTTTATGCAAATTTTTTGGTGTTGGAGCATGCATGGGCATAGTGCTTTAATCTTGCTGTTTCTTGTGTCAATGGCAGCTCAATCCCAGTAGCGTTGGCATCATGTTGCCAGTACAAGCTACAAAGATGTTTATGCAGCCACTAGAGACCATGTCACATGAATATTTTGTCCAAAATACCAATGTTAAATCAAACAGGTTTAGGTAGTAAAGGTAGTAAATGAATTTAGTTTCAGAACAGAGGCGATACGTACATATTTCATTAACACAGAAGATGTGTGTGAAACCTGCCAGACTTTCAAAGGAAAGCCTCAACTGTAGTTTGTAACTAAACTTGAGGTCCTGGGATATGCCAGAACTGTGATAAACAGCTCTGCAGCTTAATGTCATTTATACAAGAGGTTTCAATTTTAAGAACCATCTCCAAGAGGCTGCTCTAAAGTAAACAGAAGCATTAGTAAGAAAAGTCATGCACTCTAATAAAATTTCTAGCTTGAGATACCTTCTCTTGAGTGAATGAGAAGCCTGCAAAATTGTCTACAAAGTGCTTTGTGTTATCAAATTACACCAAGGTTTCCATCCATAGAAAAACTTAACTTTCTTGCCAAGACAAAAGAACCATCTCAAGGTAATATTCTATACATCAATGTGACTTTTCCTTGTAAGCTGATTCTAAAAATAACCCCTACTACTTGTCCTGTATTCTTCTGCAGCCGTTAAGTCAGCTGTGTTGTTGTAATCTGTTTCTAACTGCTGATGTTCTGTCCTTGCTAGTTGACCTGCTGGGTTTGCTGAACTGGCGTTCTAACTCTCAGAACATAGCTCACAACCTAAGGAAGCTAATGGAGGTGGAAGGAGGAGAAATTGTAAAGGTATGCATGGAGTCTCCTTGTTACGCAGACACTTGCATGTGTGCTTGATGTTGACCTTGAAGGGTTGTAATTGTGTCATATCCAAAAACTCTCTATATAGGCTAGGAGAGCTGTTCTAGCTGCTGAGCAACAGAACAGAAGGTGTACTTTGCCCCAAGAGCTCTCATTAGTGGAATTCATCAGAATTACAGAAGTTAAATGTTACCTGGATCAGGGAGATAGTGGTGACTTTATTTGCCCCTGTATCCTTACAAAATAGAATATACATTCAAAGCCTAACTTCTAATTTTCAGTAGTGGCTCTGGACCTCCTTTGTGAATAGGGACTTGCTGTGGATCTAGGAACAGAGTGCAGAGAAGGCCCAGGGAGCCTTCATATGTGCTGGAGTACATATGTACAGGGGTACTGTGGGGAATAGACCTGAAATGTGGGGAAGCGCCACAGAAAATAGTCTGCTGAATGTTTTAGGAGGTAAGACTTCCTGTGGTTCCCGGTGTGGATCTTTTGGGATTATGCAAGGTCATGGTTTTACTTAGCTGAACAAATAAAGTAAATGCTGTGTTGTTGCAAACCAGTCTTTATGTAAAATGTCATACCTTAGTATAGTGTATGTGGTTGATTTGGCCCAGCACAAGCTTAAACTGTATGGACAGAATTAGGTGTATTCAGTAGGTCTCTTGCTAGATAAAAAGGCAATAGAAAAGTGGAGCCATTCAGAGCTGATAAGAAAAGATCCTCCTTGCTATAGTGAGGGAGAATAGTGTAATGATCATGACAAGCATGTGAATGAATACAGGACTAAGATCCCTTTTTAACTGTTCTTTCAGGGACAGCTTTTACAGTTCAACTGGGCTAGGCTGGAAGGGGAAAAATGAACCGAAAGAGTAGGCTCTTGTGCAGGATTCCCAAAGTGGTTGTCTTCTCTGACCCTTTTACTATTTTTTCCCCTCTAGTTTTTGCAAGACACTCTTGATGCACTTTTCAACATAATGATGGAAATGTCAGAGAATGAAACTTATGACTTCCTTGTGTTTGATGCACTGGTGAGTGAATCTTCTTTTGTGGATTTAGAGTATCATTTTTTTTCAGCCACGTTTTCAGTCTGTTCCTGATGCTTCCTTTAGATGAATGATTGGTATTTTGCTTTGAGAAATAAATTACGTTTAAACACTTCTTAAGGCATTTTCAGGAGCTAGGATGGAGATATGCGTTGAGCTTTTTAGTAACCACAGTGAAAACAGTAATAAACCTTTACATAATTTACAATAATTTCTTCAGATAACTTCTTGCATTAAGGCAATTTACAGAAGAGAAAAGCCATATTATCTATCTGAAGCACAAAGTTAAATGAGTTGTTCAGAGTCGTGATGGTGAAGGATATGTGGCTGTGGTGGGAATAGAACGTATGTACCCTAAATCCTAGCTCAGTACTTAGGCAGTGGGGATGACTGGTCCTCTGAACTTTTAAAGAAGGATTGTAATGACTGACTAAAAGACTCCACAAGGAGTTTTCTGCATCATCTGCTTAGTATGTGTGTGAAAGGCACTGGCTTTGGTGTGCAGTGCAGTGACAAAGCTGTGTGCTTCATGCTGGTCGACAAGTATATACTTGACAGTTCAGGCAGAAATATGAAGTCAGATGCATTCAGCTGACATTGGTCGGAGGAGTGAACATAGGGGGACAGAATGGCCTGGCTCGAATACGTGTCATTATAGTAACAGGACTGAGCGCTTGCTATGAGTATAAATCAGCAGAATCTCAAGTTTTAGCTTAAAAAGCATCATTTCTTATCTTTGAAGAACGACCTTCAGCAGCTCTGTGCCTATTTAACCTGTACTATGGCAGTGTCACATAAAGACTGTGAGCAGTGCTGCTTCCTCTATCACCGTTGTTGCTTTGAGAAGTAGCTCCCTTTATCTGTAAGATTTTCTGTCCAAATGCTGCTATGACCTACCTTCCCTCTGAGCAATGATGTAGTTGCACACACCACAGTATTTAATCACGATTAAATATGAATAACACTATCTGTAGCATTAATGCTGTTGGAAAAAACACACACACGCAAACTCTGACCCAGCAAAATAAATGACATGCAATTAGAGACAGTTATGTTCGAGTTAGAGGTTATGTGGCTCTGTACATCTGTTTCCTTTTGAATTTTTGGCAGGTATTTATTATTTCTTTGATTGGAGACATCAAGTTCCAGCATTTCAACCCTGTACTTGAAACTTATATTTACAAGCACTTCAGTGCAACCCTGGCATATGTGTAAGTATTGGTAACCACAAACCCACAGGCTGTCATTCAGACAGTGTCTCGTTGATCGTTTTGGTAAACTATGTTAATGTGATAAAGGCAGCATAGACCAGACAAGAGTGTTCTGCCCTATTCCCCTCTGCTTTCAGGAGAGAAAGAAACCCTGTAATTACCCTCTTTACCCTGTAAAAAGTTTCTGTTGTAAGATTTTTTTTTTTCTGTATGGAAAAGACGCTGCTATCATGGAAAATCCTGTATCAGACTGTGTGATTCAGACTCTCATTTGACCTGTAGTCCTCTGTGTGTGTGTTTGTGTTATCAAAGCATCTTCATGTTTTTCTGCCTGATTTCCTTCTGAAAACAGATTTAATGCAGTCAGTCGATATACATCTCTCCCTGCCAACTTTTGAGTGTTTTGGTCTGGTATTGCTGCTAAAAGATTGGCAGTGGGGATAGGGGTGGTGGTTACGGGTATGTGCAGAAGGCAACAGAAAATACCCTGTGTCGCTATGCAGAGGGGCAGGGGTGGAAATTGGTGAAGGAACGCAAATTCATAAGAAATCTGGTCTGATAGGTATTGCTGCTCATGGAACTGTTTTGTCTTGCCAGTATCTGCCTCAATGTTTTCAATCCACCCCAACCCAAAAGTACGTTGAGCAGAAGAAAGTTTGAAATGGTCCATATGCTTGGTACTCTGTGCTACAATTTTAGGGCTATGTTTGAATGAGGTCACAGGGAGCAAAAGCAGAACCATACGTGGCCAAAATAATATGAGCAACATTGTGGTTGTGTAGCAGAGGTAAGAATGGTGTTCACCTCCACTCCCTGCCTACAGCCAGGCAGGTTGAGGAGGCCACAGACTTCAGAAAAGGGCTGAATGTCATGGTGGGGTTTAAACATGCGGATTACCTGAGATTACACTTACTTATTGAAACTCTCTCACATAGACTTGTCAGTTGTTTAGAAGAAATTTGCAATTCTTCACATTTGGATGCGTGAGTAAGGACAGTGGGAGTAATTCTGTTTCCTTGTAGTGTTTTTATCTGTGGAACTCAAAGCAGTTTAAAAAATTCAGCTCACAATCATTAGTCCTATTTTATCAGGGAAGGAAAAGCTGATGTGCAGAATTTATTTAGGTACATGTGAAAATTTAGTTCTTTTGGTCAACCTGTTGACTTCATGTGCTTAAAAATGAGGCATTTGTTTAAGTGCTATAGGTAGTCATGGCTTACATGCCCAAGGATACCCAGGAAGTTGGTGGAGAAGCCAGGAATAACATCCAGACCTCTTGATTTAACCAGCTCCTTGATCTAGCACCCCGCAACCCAAAGGTCATTATCCTCATGGTAACAGGCCACTAAAAAGTTAAAACTGAGGCCAATAGGAAGGGCAAAACCGGACACCAAACTCCTTTTCCCTTCTAAAAATATCTTATTTTTACTGATACTGAGTATTCAGCCTCTTTTGATGGCTGTCAATCTAAAGATAATTCTGTGAGGAAACCTGATTCCACAAAGCTCTGAAGTCCCTATCTCCTGGATTGCTTTCTTCTTCCCTGCCCTGGCCCCACAATCGCTGCTTGCATATTATTTCCATTCCTTCTTCCCTGTAACCTATGGAAGAATCATCATTCTTACTTAGCTGAGCTTAGTTGTTCTCTTGCCTTTCTTTCTAGCTTAGCTTGACAATGCGAAATCTGCATAATGCCAAGTGGACTAAAATATTATACAGCATCCTTTGTGTGCTCCACATGCCAGAATTTGACAAAGCAGGGAATTGGGTGCTGGGTATATGGCAAATAGAGCAAGCGAGTGCAAAAGATGTTGTATACTTAGCTGTCACTCACACACCGCTTTGGGTGCTGTGAGTTGTTTAATGAAGAGAAGAGGATTTTGCCTGGATATTAGCTGCCATAGCGCACTCAGATCCTGATCCTCTCATTCGTCAGAGACTAGATAGCAAATACTCATAATGTGTTTATGCAACTTCTGTCCACAGCTCTCAAAGCACTCGGTAAGTATTGCCTCAGAAGAACTTTGTGCTCCACACATGAGAATGCTAACACATGGAAAAGCTGCTAGTCCACTTTTAGTAGTAATGCGTTTTCCAGCTTTCTGAACACTTCATTTTACGGAAAAAGCAAAGCAGGTTAAGAAGCTGGAATTTGTAGACAAATTTGTAGACTTTTCTGAGAATTCGTGTACTGGTTATGAAAATCTGGCATCCCATAAAGCCAAATATTTCAGAAGGAAATAGGCTGTGAAGAGGAACCCGTGTCTGTTACCTATTTATTAGACTGCAGTTCTGCTCTGGAATAAGGAAGCTGGACTTAGACAGAAACTTAACTGTGTCTCTATTCTGCTTTTTGTTTTATTTCCAAAGGAAACTTACCAAAGTACTGAACTGTTATGTGGGAAATGCTGATGACTCCAGCAAGACGGAATTGCTATTTGCTGCACTGAAAGCCTTGAAGTACCTTTTTCGATTCATTGTTCAGTCACGTATATTGTACCTGAGGTGAGACCAAGGTCATTGCCATCCTTATGTCTCCTTTTGGAAGTCAGTGGAGTTACTTCCAGTCAACACCACTGCAAGGGATGTTCTTCAGCATATCCTCTATCCTTGAATTATTAAGAGGAGTATCCTTCTGCTCTTTGTCTACAGCTGGAGTAAATAAGTTGAGTAAAAATTGAAATACCTACTTTGAAGAGGAGAATCCTTTTAGTCACCTGTAGCATGCTATAAGCAGCATATGGTAGTGCTGAAAAGGAAGGATTTATTTGTTTTAAAAAATTAAAATGTGGAATGACTTTCTCATTTTAAGAAACTTTAAGAAACACATGCACACACGGTTACTTGTTACATGAGGTGAGGACAATATGTTGTTCTGGTAGGGTATGGTCAATGACAGTGATTTTACCGTTTCCAAAGATCTACAGTGAATGTTTGGAATCCTTTCCCGTGTTCATTCTGACTTCTTTATTTAATACGGAATGAACTACTTGATTCTTGGAACCCAAGCAGAATTTGATGCAATGGCAGTTTAAAAAGTGCAGCTTTTCCCTTATAAGAGATTTCAACAGGAAATTACTGCAGAATCCCCAATGCCATTTTTACAGTCATGTCTTTATAGAAGGATATTGCATTAAGATGTTGTTCCATAGGATGAAATCATATTTCAGCTGCTCTGACACTGTTAGCCTAGATTTATGTGTATAACTAGCTCTTTCTGTTCTTTGTAGGTTTTATGGGAAAAGTGAAGATGGGGATGAATTTAATGATGCAATACGCAAGCTGTTCCTCTCCTTCAATGTCCTCATGGACCGGCCGTTAGAGGAGGCTGTCAAGATTAAGGTATGCCTAATCTGCAGGGAGAGGTAATATCTTTTATTAGATCAACTGATACAGTTTGGGGGGGGTCACAGGCAGAAAAAGGGACAAGCTTTGAGGCACGTAAAACTCATTCAGATGAGTCACATCATCTCTGAACGTCTGTTTTAATGAACAGTGTGTGGCAGGAAAGGAATATTTAAACCCCAAAGTTTATCAAATAAAAATGAGAGCTGTGGCTTTGCTGAAAACCCTTCAGCACCTGCTAGGATGAAAGGTCACAATCAATGACGATGTAATCTACTGCAGTGTGGAAGACACTTCAGCCAGTAATGCCAAGCTTGAGGGTGATGGAGGTAGAAATGTTAAACTACTGCAAAAAATCAATGTGATGCTGGGAATGAAACTAATGAAAAAACAAATTATTTCTAAATGTATCTTAGATTTTATACTTGCTTGTTTTTCTGGTGTCAACTGGATTATGAACCTTCTGTGTATGCTCTGAGGAGGAGCAGAGCAGCCATGCAATGAAGCTGATAAATTGCTAAAGGCAATGAGGCCTTTAGATTGCTTTCTTTGTCTCAGTTCTTCTTGCCCAACTTTGATTCTCATGCAGTCAAGAGTACCTGCTGACAACAGCCATAGAACATCACAGAGACACCTTTAGTTGCTCTTGCACCTAGTTGTCTGGAACCTACATTTATGAAAGCCATATTACTACCTAGATAACTTACTACTGTGTCTGTGGACATGCTAAAGTTTGCAGAACACTGAGTCAATTTGACTAGTGCTTTTCATGTCAGGCTATAAGGACCTTAACCCCTGGAGCTGCAGGATGTTTGGAAAAACAAAAGAACTTGGCTACGAATCTCTTCTCCTTCACCTTTTCCGCTCTGCACTGCAGATGTGTGGTTGCTGGAGGCTCCTTGGATGCATAAATTTGATCTTAAGCCATTTCCTTACAGGTGTCCGCATATTTGCTCTTGACAAAAACTAGATTTGCCATGTGAGCTGTGGCCCATGTCGTTGAGAGCTTACATCCTTTTAGAATGAACTAGCTAGTCTAACTCGGTTTCCATCTGTGTTTCATGTCCTTTTTTTTTTTTTTCTTGCAGGGTGCAGCTTTAAAGTATTTGCCAAACATCATAAATGATGTCAAACTAGTATTTGACCCTGTTGAGCTCAGGTAACCATATTAAATTTGTTTGTCCTCTAAACCCAGCTCATCTGTTGGGGGGAATTTTGGAAACTTTCCTAAAAGCAGCCACTTTGATTATGACATGATAATGCACATACTGTGCATGAATTTGAGGAATTGCTTGCAGGTATTCAAAGAAAGTCAGTTGAGTTCAAAGGAATCCATGCATCTCAACTGCTCTTTCTTAGGCACTTTGAGATATTACTTAAAACCAAAATTGGAGGACTGGGGAGTGATACGTTGAAATGTTGTGCAAGTTTCCACCAATTCTTAATGATTGCTTCTGAGGTAAACCAAAATGAGTGGCAGAGGCATAGCCTTGGTCAGGAAAACAAAAGTTGTATTTATTCAGGAAATTCACAACACTCTGGATTTCTATTCTTTGGTGTTCATAGCTTTGCCCAGAACCTCCCAACCATGCCTCCTTCTTCTGACACAAATAATTTGCTCGTGAACAGTAGACAGACAGCAAATGTACATGGAATTTAATTTAATGGAATCTCAGATTGAAATGGGTCATCACTCTTGATGAAAGGGCCATCTGGAAGGATGTGCTCCTGCCGTTGTATACAGCAGCGTTTCAAGTTTCAGCAGTGGTCTGCTGAAGCTTTGCAAAATTCTGCTTTCGTTTTGTATGGAAGTAAGTACAATTATCTTATGCTGGCACTGGAGGGCAGATAGTACTGCCTATTTATAAGCTTTTGTGATATATCTAGTGTGTCTTGGGATGCAAGCTTCATTTTAAGAGGTTTAAGCCTGCTGTTTCAGAATACTGTTCAGTTTTGCTAAAAGTCCTGAGCTAAGTTTCTTGAAAATAAGTTAGGGCTCCATAGTAATTTGCCTGGAGACCACTTGCAGGTAACGTGTCCACACAGTGACAAAACTGCTTGACTTACGCAGGTGCAGAACAGTGTAAGTGTAGGGTGGAATCACATTGGGTGAAAATGCTGACCATCTGCTTACTTTGTGGTTTGCACGCTAGCGTCCTCTTCAGCAAGTTTATCCAAAGTATTCCTGACAACCAGTTAGTTCGACAGAAGCTAAACTGCATGACCAAGATAGTCGAAAGTGATCTGTTTAAACAGTCCGGTAAGTAGCAGACTGAAGTCTCTGGATCTTGTGTGGGGCCACCCACCCCTAAAAATAAAAATATCTTTCAAGTTCACATGCGTCAGTTATTGGTGGTAGTCTACAGTTAAATCCATCTTTAGAAATATTCCTTGCCACAGAACAACTGAAACATTTTTTTTGCTGTTCAGTCTTTATACGGTGCTTAATACCGTAGGATCCTGATCCAGTGTGTTGATTTAAGAGGCAGAAGGTGAGTGCACTACTACAGGTTATTTATGACTCTCTCTAGTCTGCTAGTGGTAACTCAAGTGGATTTAAGCATGTTTTGGTGTCCAAGATAAAACTATGAGCAGAAAGCTACCGTGTGTTACCCATGTATATTGAATGCTGAAGAACTTCCTGAAACCAACAAGATGCAGTGCTCTTTCATTTTTTAGAGTGCAGAGATGCTCTTCTGCCGCTACTAATAGATCAGCTAAGTGGCCAGTTGGATGACAATTCAAACAAGCCTGACCATGAGGCCTGCTCACAGCTACTTAGCAATGTTCTTGAAGTCCTGGATCGGAAAGATGTGGTGAGCATGAACTGTCAAGGGTGCAAATTAAGGTTAATTCTTCTTTTGAGAAGTTATGGCAAAGAAGTGTTCTCAACTTACGTTGTAAAGAATTATAAAGTTCTGATGTTTACAGAAATTGCTTGCATTGCTGTATAGTTCTTTGAATCTCTGCACATAAAGTAGCGGTGTCTAAAAAGGAGCCATGAAAGGTTGAATTAGTGGTTATCACTACAGTACAAATAAGCAATTGCTTTCCTTTCTAGGGACCAAAATGTTACTCCGAACTACTTTGGTGACTTGTTGAACTATTTAGAGCAAGTCATAAAAGTATTTGTTTTCTTGTTTTCTTTGCTGTAAAATAGGGACAACGATCCTTATTCAGTTGGGAGAATACAGTTACTTGCCATATTAATCATGGAAATTGATTCTAAGTTGCTGTGAAAAGAATAGTTTGAACTGAAGAGCTGTTCAGGGAAAACAAAGCCAAATCAAAGCACCAGCTTCAGTTTAGCAACACCAGGATAAACTAATGAGGCTGATATAAATCCACTATGCTAGTTCTCCACGTAGTGTATATCTATAGTATTTGAATCGATTACTCGTGTGTTTTTAAATCTGCTTTTTTAGATCCTCTAGTAACAATTCACCACTGTCAGGGCAGTCCTCACACACAGGGAGCACTCTGTAGAACAGTGTACATTAAGAATTGTCTCAAATATTCCTTATTTAACATCCCCAGGGGCCCACTGCTGTCCACATCCAGCTCATCATGGAACGCCTGCTAAGGAGAATAAACCGCACGGTGATTGGAATGAGCAGACAGTCTCCACACATCGTGAGAGTCTTTTACTTGCTTCAGTTATTACTTTACCATTTGTTATAGTGGAATTTACTCTCCTGGGAGATTTTGGTGTGTAGCAGTGGTTTATGAAATCATCTTTCCGTTTCCTGTGGGGCTTCTGTGCCACTGAAACATGGCTTTTGCTGGTTTTCTGAGACCAGGTATTAGGATATAAATTGTCATACTCCAGCAGCAGTCTGAACTGAGTCACAGTTTGCTGTGATTTCAAGTTCCTTTGGGCCCACGTGCACAGAGAATTTGGTTTCAGTGCAGTTTCTAATACACAAGGAGTCTTTGCTGAAAAAATGCTCTTTTGTCACCTTGGCTGAATAGGATTAAATGCTGAAGGATGAGGCATCTCTAAGGGGCGTTTCTGACTTCTGTGTGGCATCTTAGAAGGTGTAAGCAAGTTAGTATGTTTTAATTGGCCCTGTACTTCATGTACAGAAAGATGCAAAAATCAAGAGCAGGGTTTATATGGCAATATCTTATTTTTGATAACTCTAAGGTCACATTAATGCTATTACCAATATGTCAGCCATGAGAATTACAGTTGGCCGTAGTAAGTCCGAAAATCATAGAATTATTTAGGTTGGAAAAGACCCTTAAGATACAACGAAGTGGTTTGTGTATATATGTGTGTGTATGTATTCCATTGTTTGGAGGATGTGTTTTTCTTGCAAACTGTGATCCCTGAGGAGAAAGCAAGCTGTACCCAGACTTCATACTTGAAATTTAGGAAGTCATGACTAGTCTGGGGTAGAGGACTAAACAGTCACACAGACTGATGTCAGGAAATAGATAAGCAGGACTGTGATCAGTGATATTCGATTAGGCAGAACTCTGAAAGCACATGCCACACTTTGAACTTACAGTGCTTAATACAAGTAAATAATAAAATGTTTTGTTTTTCCAATTCTAGGGTATTTTTGTGGCCTGCATGACAGCCATCCTGAGGCAGATGGATGATTTCCATTACAACCATTACATCAATACTTTCAAAACCAGGCAGGACATTATTGTAAGTCAGCCTGGCTGAGGGATTAGCTCAGTCCATAAAGAATTACACTCTGCTTCTGAAAGGTCATTTCAAGTTACTGTATTCAGTTTGGAGTGATTATACTGCATTCATCAGCAATGACTTACTGGCACCTAATGCCACAGCCACTGGGCATATATTCACATCACCCCTGCTAGGTATACACAGTGGATGTTGCTGACTCAGTAGAGCCTGAGAATAGCATTTATAGCATTGAGTATAAACATGCTTAATGACTATTTAAGTCTGTGCAAGTAAAAAGTCAGGAACCCCAAGAGTGAAGGAAGATGAAAAAGAAAAGCATTTTTCCCCCTCTTGCTCTCACTGTATCTCTTTTGTGACCCTCTTTTCTCTAATTCTTTCTCCTCCTCTAAAGTTTAATTTAAATGTTTTAGTCTTGCTTTAGTGGGCAGCAATGCAAATAGTTCCCTCCATCTTAAAAACTGTGTACAATTCATGTCCCCAAAGACTTTCGATATGAAACGAGGTGAAACATTAGGTTTGTAATTTTTTGGAGGCAGTTAGAATTAACAGCTGTGTCCACATTTTTCTCCAAACTGCCCAGAACAAATCAGAACCAAACGCAGTATTTATGCAAGCCTCTGAAGCATGACACAGCAATTGTTCTGGCTTTTTTTTGTCCCCCATTCTCCCTGTTTTGCAACTTAGAAGTGCTTGCTTATTTAAATACTGTCTGGGGAAGAGCCTGGAGTTGGGTTCTTCCTGTAAAAGCTAGATTAAAATCCACAAGAAGGTGTTTGTAATTCATTTTGGATGGCAAGGTGATCTCTCTTT